CGCCACTTCGGTTTCATGAGGCAGAAAGTGAGCTGTTTTGTTGGCTATCGCATGCGCCCCAATGTTCCCCAGCTGCTAAAGGTACATTCCTCTATGTTTCAGTCATCATCCGACTATATCCAGGGACAGAAGCACGTTTCCTCACTTCTAAGCTCCTGTCCGTCCCCGGCCCTTTCATCAACGATAAAATGATCCGGCCCTCAGTGTGAGTGCATGTTGGCGTAAGTGATCTTGATGTATGACAGGAGCTGAGCTTGATTTAGTCCGCCACTACATCAGCTGCCAATCTTTAGTCCCCGAGCATGATGGACGCCCACAGAGTCAGAGGTCAGCGTTGTGTGGTGATGACCTCAGCCCAGTCTTGACCTTGGGAAGGGGTTGGTGTGGCGGGTAGTAGAAGGTGTTGGGTCTGCAGGTTCACTGAGGTCCTTCTTTTCCACATGACAAATGAATGACTGTGTCATTGGGGAGAAAGGAAAAAAAAAACAGCGTATCCACTTTGACCCCTGTAAACAGCACTGCGGGGAAAGTTAGCCTGAATCCACTCGTGGGGTCACGGCTCAGCCCCCAGCGGCCGGGGATCGTGTTCCTAAATAACCTCCACACGTCCTCAGGGATTTATGGACCCACTGGGCTTGAGGTACAACTTGGATCAGGGTCAGCTTTGATGGAGAATAGGCAAGTATTGTGTTGGAGTGGAAACAAGAGCGCGGCTGAATGTGTGCGTCTGCCTGCACATGTGCGGCATGCATGTGCACCCATGCTCGCGTGTGAACATGCAAGTGTATTCATGCCGTTTATGCCCGTGCTAAAGCGTAAGAGCTTCGATCTCCTTGTGATGTGACCAGCTAATCTAAGTCTAATCTTAGCCAGCTGCCAGCCTCAGCCCCTGTACCCAGACTCCTCCTTTCTTCTCCAGCTGAGGAAGAAATTGTTAAAGCTACAAATTACCAAGAGCCAGAGGTTCTTCCACCTCCGATGATGGCAAGCAGATGGCAGCAGGACTCGGGGAGTCGCAGCCCTGCTCCCCAACCCCTTCCATAAAGCACCATTTGCATTTCATGAGCCTTAATTGCGTCTGTTGCCCTCCTCCCCACCGGCTCCGCGATTTTGTGCCTGTCACCGTGCACCCCTGCACCCTTGAAGGAGCTGTGATAGATTAAGGTGGACCTTCTGTTTGCATCCCCCTCTTTGTGTTGCAGAAATTAGAAAATATTATCTCCCCGACAGCCCAAAGAATGGAGGGGTGCAGGAGTTGATAGTGACATTGGGCGGGATAGGACAAGACAGGGAGAGTGTGTGAGGCCTTAATGGGAAACGTGGTTATTTTAAAAGCTCGTCCTTGACCCTGTGAAGGCAAAACAATGATGCGTGGAACCCCCAGACGCCCATAAAGCACGGAGGTAATAATGCATGACTGCCAATATTTAATAGACACAAAACTCTGACTTTCAGCTTAGTTCATTTTTAACAAGTTATTTAGCTTCTTTTTTAAATTAAACTAATATCAGCTGAACAATTGAATTAGGTGCAGAAACACAGCTTCAGGAAAGAGAGGAGCAGATTATGACGTTCATTGAACTGTCAAATATCCAGGTGAAGGTTAAATCAAACAGAAAGTGAAGGTTTCATCATCACCATAGTTAATGTTACAGGATCGAGACTGGTTCAGGGCGAGTTCACTAATATGTCTGGTGCCTGTCTGGTCTTTTATTTTTCTGTTTAAAAAATAATAATTTTTCCAAATTTGTCACAAAAATATTAGCTACGAGTTTTTTTTATTTAAGATTAGTTTGACTTTAGAGTTTAGTTTTTGTGTAATCCTGCTGATTTCTTAAAGACTATGGGTTGAATCCCCCTTTTCATTTCTCACCCGTCTTTATGTTGTTCATTGTCGCCCTGTCTGACCCCTGGTGCTTCGTAAACACTCATTAGTTTGAATTCTCCCTCATTTCATTCTCCTTTCTTGCATATCAAATTTCTCCGATGCTTTAAATTCACCATGTTTCTTTCTGAATTCATCAAACAAGCGGAGGAGTGATTTGTCGTCTGCCTTTTACCTTTAATGATGTGTTGTGCCATAAAGAGCCTTCATAATGGCCCCGGAGGAGGAGCATCCATTAGATTGACTGACGGGTAATAGAGAAGGAGCCGTGCAGAAGGAATCGCAGCTCTCTATCACATGTATGCACGCTGATGACAGAGGGGGTCCGCCCTCGCAAAACAAGCTGAGACGAGGCTTAATGATCACATATAGAGTTAATGAGGTTTAACACACTTCAGCGGGAAAAATATGATCTGTTAAACCCAAGGGAGAAACTGAGTATTTCAACTGCAGCCTCCATGTTCTGGTGGGTTTAACTGCAGGTCTCATAGTGAACCACACAGAGGCACTGTTGGATAGTTTGGTGCCATGGATAAATGTGGCCACTGTTCCTATACTCAACCTCAAGGTGTCAGTATTGAACAACATTTGATAAACTGAGGAAAACTATGTAAAGATTTTTATTTTATGGATACGTCCCAAAAATGTAGAAAAGTGGGAGATGAGGGGGAAAAACTATGTAAATGTATATTTTCAAAGATACTGAAAACTACACCACAGAGTCAGAACGCAGTGTCCTGATTTCACCCAGCGCTTGTATGT